AAAAAAATATTATAATCACTTAATGTTATTAAAGGTAACAAAACAAAATTGAAATTTATTAGATAAATATTAATTAAAAAATTAGTTAGCAGTTTGGTACAAAAATTAAAAAATTAAAAAGGATAAATTTGGCAATAAAATTAAAAAATTCTAATATGCTAACGGTTTGGTACAAAAAGTTACATAAATTAGTTTTTTCAATCCGCTAGCGGTTTGGATCATAACCGTTATCCATTAGTCTCAAACCGCTAAATAAAAATTTTACCGAACACTTTATTTGTAGCGGTTTCGAAATATATAAGTTTACCAAATACCTATATTTAGCGATTTAGATAAAACCACTAACCGCTACCCCAAAGCTGCTATACCAAACGGACCCTATGTCAAGATGTTCTAGCAACTCATGATATGTTTTTTGGTACTTTAAATGATAAAAAATACAATAAAGCATAGTTTTTTACTTTCCAAACTCCTATGTACCTATATCTTAATATTCAAATTCAAAATTTTTAATATAAAATCTTAAACTTAACTATTAATTAGAATGTCTATGATATGTTAGGTTTCTATTAATTTTAAATATTGTTATCTCATTACATTGAAGATTTTCTTTGCCTTGCTAGTAATTTTCCCCTTATATTTTTTGAGTTACTATTAGGCAATGGCTACCCTATCCAAAAATCCCTAACAAAGTAAATAAATAAAATCTTCCTAAATTAGGTCGGAATTTATAGTAGTTTGAAAGCTCTTTCTCCCTCTTTTTTTTTTACCTCAATGGGCAGCGGGCAGACGTGCCCGTTTCATATTAGTTCTTGTTACTATAAAGCCTCAAACCTCTCCCACCCCTCACTTCACCTTCCCCCGTTTTAGGGTTTTGATTAGGGCTTTTCATGCTTCGTACTGAAGCTCTGTTTCTTCAGAGAATGTAACTCATCTTTCTATTTCAGAACTAGGGTTTTTCTTTTTACCTAGGTTTTTGTTCTTATTTAGTAGAAATTTCTCATTTCCACCGTCACACTCTCTCCCATTTTTTGTGGGTTTCTTTTGAAAAGATTGGAAAAGCTCTGTGTCTCTGTGATTTCTCTGCTCCCCTTTTCAGTCAAATTTAGAAGCTTTAAAGTACCCCGGCAATCCTTTCACCTTCTCCTAACCAGTTTTATAGTACTTCAACTGCTTTTTGCCCATTTGAGTCCTGTTTTTCATTCCATTAAAAAGAAGAAGAAGAAGAAGAAGAAGAAGAATGGCTCCTTCCTCCAGTACTACCAGAAGTGGCAGCACAAGGACAAAGAGGACAAGAAAACCCAGGGCAAGACAGTACAAGAAGAGGCTTGCAATTGCAAAGACAGAGAATAAGAAAGCAGCAGAGGAGGGTTCCTGTACCAGCTCTGATTGCTTTTCAAAGAATATGGGTGGCGGCTTTGATTTCAAAGGTGTTGATGTTGATGATGATATCCCAGAAAGTCCCTGCTCCACACCAAAAGCTCAAAGATTTCGAATACCGGAGATCGAGACATGCCCTCCAGCTCCAAAGAAGCAAAGGGTACTCTCCAATTGCTCATTCCACAGAAAGCCTATTGCTTTCTTTGCCTCTCCTGATTTAGAGCTCTTCTTCTGCTTTGCTCTTCGAGATATCTCAGTCTAAATCCTTTGGACAGACTTCAACAAAATATAGCAAAAAGCTCATTTCAATAGTTAAAGAGGTGGTCTATATCTAATCTTTGATATTTTCTTATAATATAGATTCAGATTGAGTTTTTTTTTTTTTTCTTGGATTTGATCATTGAATTAGGTAAGTGTGAGAGTTTGAGATATTCTGGAGTGAATGGTTTAGGATTTTAGTTGAGTTTTCAAAATTGTAGGGTACATACTAATAACTTAATTTAGCTTTATTGCCTACTTTTTTTTCTTTAATATTTGTTTTTTCAAATGTATTGCTGACTTTTTTC